TTATAGAGAAAATGCTAATTTTTTTCTATTTTAGAGTTCTCTACACTTTTTCTTCAATATATATAGAGGCAAAAATAGCAATTTCTACTTTAGAGTTGGAAATAGAGATGGGTTGGAAAAAAAAAATAGAGAATTGTTATTTTTTTTCTCTATTTTTAAAGAAAAAAATAGGGAAGAAAAAAATAGGGATGGGTTGATGATCTCAAATTTCTTTAAAGTAACTCCTTTTTATTTTTATTTACATGAAAATATCAAGAAATAGGAAATTACTGGAGTAGCTCATACTAGTATGTTTTCGTTATTCTGCTCGCAAGGTTGTGAGCATGAGGTGAAAGTACAAAAATAGTGAAGGAGCTTCACTAGAACAGTGAAAAATGTGCATTTTATGGCATGCAAAATTTCCTCGTAAATATAATTCCTTAATTATGATTCATTGTATCAATGTAATGCAGGCCAGTTATATTTGTATGAGCATGTGTTATGGAAGTATAACATCTAGTGAATCGGATTAAAGTGCATTGATGGTGAATAATCCAACAACCACAGTAGCAATAGCCGTTCGTGGTGGAAACAATCATCATCGTTGCTGATTTCAATTAAAGATCGCCCAAAAGATAACCAAAATAAAAGCGACAATCTATAAAATTTGAAGGAAAAAAAAACGAAACATAAAATGATATATAAAAAAGGGTAAAACGAAACTGCTTTTAAAATTTTTTATCAGCAGAGATTACGGGTCTTGGTGAAAAAGAAAGTCACTTTTCTTCTTAATTTTTCTGCATAAAAGTACATTTTTAAATACTTTTGCAATTCAATATTATTGCTCTATATGATTAGTGCTAAAACGTACCCACCGGACACTCTCTGCGGCTTAAGCAATTAGTTTATTATATAGACTAATCGAGGACTATGGATTGACTTATCATGACCATCAATCATATCCCATGTGAACATTAAGAATGAAACTTTTTGAAATAATTTCATCTTTTCAAAACATATATACCATGCCCAATTCAGCACATCTTTTTCATCACATGACTTATGAATTTTCGTCACTTATGATGATTTTCAAGGAATAGTTCTCACATGTTTTTTTTTTTGCTAAGTTCTCACATGTTTTGTTGTCATCCTACTACACTTTTAAACCCTGAATTTGAGTTCGTGATATCAACTAAATACAAGAGATTATTCACTAGATTCTATTACGTTTTAAAATATGTACATGCTTTAA